AAAAAAAAAAAAAAAAGAATTAGTTTGAAGTGGAACTGACTCATTAGGTATAGTTTCTATTCTTTGAATTCTTTTAAAATATGACAAGTAAGAATAATTTCACTGCATGATTGACACTCAAGTTTAAATTTCTTTTCTCTAGTTCTTCAACATACTAATACCCTTTATTGAGCTAATCATTTAAAAATAATTTTTATTTTTATCGGGTTAGCTCATATTTTGCTTTCACTCATTCTGACGGTAACTGATAAAGTCTGTCTCCTCAATTTTAAAAAAAATCTTTAATAGCTAAAATCTTTAGAAATTAAGACGTCTTAATATCTGTGGTAGAAACAGTTGTATTAGCACTGAAAAGTACTTCTCTGAGGACCAGGCCAGAAAAGAAGAGAAAAATTCATCTTCTGGTGGGCACATGAAACAGGCAGCTAGCGAAGGACCGGAGGTAGAGGTGCTGGAGAAGGGAGAGCAAGTCGGGGTGACAAGGCGCCTGTCTCTGTTGCAGAGAGGAAGCCCGAGCAGACTCGATGAGCCGGGCTCAGGCCCTCTGGCCAGTGCAGAGAGGGCTGTGCGAGGCTCTTCTGTGATTAAAACCATGTGATTACTGGAACAGGCCCCGCACCTGACTTTGTGGCTGTGGTGTGGCGGGAGGGGAGCTGATTCCTGCCACCAGTATTCACCTGGGCTTCAAGTCGAACCTTGCTTCTCCCCCTTCCCTTCCTCCTCTTGCCGTCTCCCGAGTCACCGCAGGCCGAGCAGCCTCCCAGCAAAGCTTCCCCACGTGTCCTGGAAGCAGCTCCTCAGATGGGCAGGCACAGGTTCCTTTCCACAGAGGCCCCCACCATGTCTTTCCACCCTCCCTCCGGAGACCCCCGCTGCTGCTGTGGCGACTGGGGAGGGAAATGGGAATTAAAGAGAGGCGGGACCTTCAAGAAGAGAGAGCTCACCTGTACTGGTGAAGCGGGAGCTTGTCATTGAGGGGCTTGGGCTGGAGGCAGGAAGACCAGTCAGGAGGCTGCAGACATCGCCGGGCAAAGGACGTCCTACTTCCGGCAGGGAAAGGTGCAGGTGGAGTAAGCAGGAGTGTTAGGAGCCGGGTCATGCCCACGGTGCTGTGCGCACGGGAGATACTGGACATGAGAAATACTGAGATTCTCCTGAAGCACAGACACTCCCCTGCCCTGGCGCTGCTGGGCTGGTCTCTTGGGCTTCCAGTCTGAAGGAAGAGTGTACCTCTATTATGTCATGCGTACAGAGATAGGTAGCTGGCAAATCTAGATTAAGGTAATTGTTTTCTCTTTGTGAAATCTTTATTGAGATGAATATTCCCAACCCAAGATTTGAAAAAAAGCAATAAAAATACTGCTTCTTCAGAAAGAAAAAGAAAAATACCGGATGGTTTCACTCATAGCAGGACCATAAAGGA